CCCTGCGGGCAGGTGGGGTGGGGGACAGGGTGGGGGCGAGGCAAGGGGTGGAGTGGGGGTGGGGCCAGTTTTTGGGCACTCGGTCTCTAAAAGGTTCGCCATCACTGGTCTGTTGGCTTGGCTATTGATTCTGTTCAATAGGGATACTCCAGGCAATTGAGGGACCCTCTTTCAGGTGACCAGGTCTTTCTGGGTAAGATGGGGTCAGGGGATCCTCTGTGGGGTTGCTGTGAGAAATATTCTCAGCCTCTGTCAAAGTTGCTTGGCATCGCTTGGAATTGGATTCCTGCTGAACAGATCCTATGGAAGTACCTGAGGTTCATCTGAGCTCAGTTGTCTGGGAAAGGTTTGAACTGATAGATTCAGAGAAAGTGGACAGGTCCTTGCAGCTATGAGTTTGACCCCTATGTTCTGGCTTATACCTTTCCTGGCTGGTTACAGGTTTCTAGGTGGTAGCATATGGTTGGGTCCTCATAGTGGGAGAGGTAGTGCCCACCTGACTTGAAACATGTGGTGGTGTGCCTTCTTCTCAAGACCCTCCTGAGACCCAACTTTGTTTTAAGTACTCAGCTTAGTGGGCCCTGGATAAAGTGGATTATCTGTACCTTTCTCGGGCTAGATTACAGTACCAAGATGACATTGGCTTTGCTTGTGGGTGACATCTGGAGAGCTGGGGATGGGTTAGTGCAACCTTCTTGGCCCACATGGATCCCTCAACAGCTTTCGATAGCATTGACCAGCTTTGGGGCTTGAGAGCAGGGACAGTTTGTTTCTTCTGGGGAGGGGAGGGAAGGGGTCCAACCCTAGGCCTCTCTTGTGTGGGAGTGCCTCAGAATTCAGGACTATCACTGCTTCACTTCAGCATCTAATGAAACTGCTGGGCAAAGTCATTTGGCAGCATGAGTTATACACCTCCATCCCTGGCCAAGCAGGCAATGCCATTCAGCAGCCTGCAGGCTCTGAGGGTCAGGATAGAGAAAACCCGGCTCAGACTCAGTCCTGGCAAGAGAGAGTGGCTTTGGGTTTTCATATCCGGAAGTGTCATATTTTACTCTTGATGGTAGCATTTCTCCAGATGTAGCTAATGCACAATTTGGGATCCTGCTGGACTTACACTCATGCTGTCACTGTGCCAGTTCCTGCAATGCACTTTACACGGGGCTGCCCTTGAAGACCATCCAGTAAATACAACTGGTCCAGGATGCAGTGGCATGCAGAGTTTTGGGGGTTCTATTGTGTTGCCCATATTACAACATTGCTTTGCAAGATGCTTCCAGTTTCTTTCGGGGTGCAATTCAAGACGCTACTTATCCCTTCTGTCCCTTCGATTGCAAGGAGATCCAAATCGGTTAATCCTACGGGAAGTCCACCCTGACTAATCTTTGGAAGGGTTGAGCTGAAACTCAAATGCTTTGGCCCCCAAATGAGAAGAGAGGGCTCATTGGAAAAGACCCAAATGTTGGGAAAGATTAAAGGCAAAAGGAGAAGGGGATGGCAGACAATGTGATGGTTAGATAGTGTCATTGACACAGTGGCCGTGAATTTGGGCAGACTCTGGGAGACAGTGGAGGGCAAGAGGACCTGGCGTGCTGTGGTCCATGGGGTCGTGAAGAGTCAAACATGACTTAGCAACCAAACATCAGCAGCAAAACGTTATCAACTTTAAAGCCTGTGTGGCAGGTCATCTCTATGACCACCTGTCCCTGAGAGCATCTGTTCACTTCCAGCAGATTGGACGGGGGTTGGTCTGTTCCAGGCCCCTTCTCCCTAGGGCTGTCTTCTAGCTGGACCAAGGGAACACTCCGGCTTTCCTCAGGGGCAGCCCCTGTCCTGTAGAACACCCTCCCTCTAAGATCCCCACCCTTCTAGCCTTCCAGAAAGTTTTAAACGACTGGCCCTTCTCTCAAGTGGGGTGAAGCTGGAATCTAAGGATTGCAGGGTTTTGATTCATTGGAGAATGTTGGGTTGGTGCTGGGAGTTGTTTATTTAGATACCAGCTTTATTGTTTTTATTGCTGGTGCTATAAGCCGCCCTAGATTACCGCACATAAGATGTACAGCCATATAAGTCTCTTAAATACGTGAATACATTCTGATCATGCTGATGTGACTTTTCGTTGTCAGTTCAATATCATTCCCAGGACGGCATTTGGAAAAAATGTGTATGAGAAATACAGAAGAGAGAAAGTCTTTCTCCTCCTCATCACTGTTAGAGCAGTAGTACAGGGAAAAGCTATGAAGTACAGGGGTTATTATGCTAGCTCCAGTTGATTCCTAGTCATTTCCATCTGATTTACACATTTATGTCCCACTTTATTAATTTTTCCTGCTCGTAGGATATCCTTTAAATCAGGTTTTCAGCAAAGTGCTAGGTCCCACTCATAAGACCTAGTACTTTGCTAAAAACCTGATTTAAAACATATCCACAGCCAAGATATGATCCATTGACAATTAGGTTTATGGAGCAGAAATGTGTTTCTTTGTACAGTTGCCTGGAAGTGAGCTCCAGTGAATTTATTGACACGTACTTTTAAGTGCTAAGTAAGATTTAAGTAAGGTCAGATCTTTAAAAGCACCCTACTTGAACAATAAAAAAAAACAAGAAATCTATGCCGAGGCAATTAGAAAAGAAGCTTTATACTGATGTGGTTATTATTTGCAGAAACATGAGAAAAATGTCTATATTTAATTGCCATTTATTCAAAATAATAAGAACTGTATTAATTTAAGGTTGGCAAAAGAAAATATTATTGGAAGAAGAGAAAATCAAGCAAATGGACTATAGAATTATAGAAATTAATTGTTATTGATTGTTTTTTAAATACTAACCCAGACAACACACTGTTTACCAAATATT